AACATTTACCCATGACCAGAAATCATATCTTAAAGTATATCAAAATCCATAACTTTCATTTTGGATAGAGGGTTAGGTTATAGGGTTTGTCAAAACTGTCATTTGTTTTGATGTCTATGTCCCATTGGGGAGATTTTCCCTTTTCTTCCTGTAGACATAACAAAAAATGAGAGGAAGCCTCTCTAAAGTTAGGGGGATGCCCTCTCAATTGTCACTGTAACGATTGTCCGCATTGGAAGATTTCCCCCTATCCCCCTATCGAGGACACAAACCGTAAAAAAATAAATAAATATCCAAAGTATATGTTGAGGCACTTACGGGTCTTGCAGCAAACATAAGTGAAAGCGTCTGAGTTTTTTTTTGTCAACATTACTAGTTGACAAAAAGACTACAAGACTAAGCTAACCATCAAAATGTCAACAATAAAACGCTGATGCTTTGATTTATCTCCGCTGCAAGACCCATAAAGGCCACTATATACTGTATATACTTTGGCTACCTCTGGGATTTTATGTATATGAGGCTTGATTCATGGAGCATAATACTCTGGATGAAGCAACTCACATACATCAGGGGTCCTTAGGAGAGCACCCTGGGAAGAATCCAAGGGTGTTTTTCACTAAGCTGCCGAAGGCAGCCGAGTGAATAAACTAGCCGAAGTGAACTGAGCCGAACGGTGTTCAGCTATTCACTTCAGCTCTGTATGACTGAGCTGAAGTGCAGAAGCTGTTCGAACCAGCCAATCTAACATCTGGATCGGCTGTGCTGAAGCTCCTGCAGTTCACTCCCTGCTGTTCGCCCCTATTCTCAAAGAGGCCAAACGGCAGTGAGTGAATAGGTAACCAGCAGAATAGGTAGTAGCTGCGGCAGTTCACTCGCTCCCGTTCACCCCTATTCTCATAGAGGCCGAACAGCAGTGAGTGAATAGGTAGCGACTAGCGAGCAGAATAAGAAAAATTTAAACAAAAGGGAAAAAAAAACTTACCAAACCATACCAGACCCTTTAGGTCTGGTAGGAAAGTTAGAAGGGATCCCAAATTAAAAATAAAGAAAAGGGTGTGGGGTCCCCCCCCCCCCAAAGTCATACCAGGCCCTTTAGGTCTGGTAGGAATTTTAAGAAGGAACCCAACCGCCAGAAATGGGGAAAAACATGGGGTCCCCCCTAAAATTCCCAACCTGACCCTTGATCTGAGCACAGGCCTGCCAGGCGCCCCCTCCCTGCCATACCAGGCTACATGGGAGGGTGCTTTTCCAGGGTCCTCCTGGAAAGGCACCTTGTCCCCATGCCGATGAGGACAAGGGCCTCTACCTCACAAGTCCTGGGGCATGGGTTGTGGGGGTCTGCGGGCAGGGGGGCTTATTTGCATCGGGGTACCCCCTTTAATATAGGGGCACCCAGATGTGCCCCCCCTTGAATGAATAAGGGGCACTTGTACCCCTACTCATTCACTAAAGGGTGACATAAAAATTAAAATAAACACACTGACGTAATCCAGGGTCAATCCTGACGTTCAGCGTTGTCCATGATGACAACTACCCGGTGGAATAATAAAATAAAAATAATAAATACATTTTAAAAACGACGCCCAGCGACCTATCCGCACATAACAAACTCCTGCCATAGAGTTACATTCCGAAAGATGCCGGAAATATGAACAATTGGGCGGCACCTGACAGTCTGCCTGCAGGTCTAGAACAAATAAAAACAAATGGGCGGAGCCAGCCGTAATGTCACGGCTGGCTCTGCCCAGTTGTCATTTAATGACAGCCCAGTGTCCTCAAATGTCCTGAGGACGCTGTGGCAGGGAGTAGCAGGGAATATGGTTGGCTTCGGCCGAACCTTCTTTCCACATAAGCTGTCACTTTGGCTCAGCCAAGCCAAGGCATATGTGTTCGGCTTGGCTGAGCCGCTCCGCTGCCTTCGACTGCTGTACGGGCTATCGTGAATAGCCCATACAGCAGCCCTTCGGTTCAACTGAACCAAAGGGCTCCAGCAGCCGTTGTGAGCCGAAAAATCAGCCGAGGCTAGATTGAAGCGAGGCTGGATCCTTCCGGAGGTAAGTGAATAACCCTCCAAATGTTTGGAAACACTAAAGGGTTCATTTACAAAAGTTGCTGTACTTGTCAGCACCATCTAGGGGTGGAACATTTATAGATGAACCCCAAAGTGAGCAATGCACCAATTATTTTTGATTCCAGAATTAAAAATGTATTAGTTCCTAATCGAAATGACACAAGATGTTACAGGCTATGCTATAGTTTTTTTATATTATTATTTTTATTCTTTATATGTTGTATTCTTGTTTGCAATCTTTTATCCCTAAGCCCTGATCTTGTCTCATCTTGATTAAGGACTAATACATTTAGATTTCTGCACTCTATAATAATTGGTGTGGTGCTCACTTTAGAAAAAAAAACTGACGGGTTTTCATCCCTCTACACTCTATCCAGGTACATTTTAATGGAACAAATGCAGTAATGTGAATACTGGCTGTAGGTTATAGCCCTGTGTATATCCTCACTGCTCTTTACACTAATCTGATTTAGTCCAATTTTAAGAAAAGTAAACCCCTTCCATAGCCGGCTTACTGACAAGTAACACTGTTTGAATCAACCTACCTTATGTATGTATTAAATTATTAACTAAGGTCAATCATTATTGGTATATCATTTTTCCCATTACTACAATTCCATTTACTCAGCCTGGTTGGATAAACCACATGTAAATTCAAGTGTGCGAGAACTTATGTTTTTCATTAGGCTTGCAGTAATTCCTGTATATTTGTTCAATTTCACAATATTATTTAAGGCAATGATCTACAATGTGGGAAGTGCCTAAAACTATTAACATGTCATTTGAATTAAAATGAAAGACAAACACTTGGCTTTATACTGCATAATAATTGATGGCTTTAAGCAGTTCCATCTTGTTTGTTAAATGTAATCATTTCATTTGATCAGCTGGAAGCTGATTGGAGCTATTTTATGTTCTCCCATTCTAGTTTCCATTGCTTAGGAATGATAATACATAGTTATGTCATGCACTACAGGCTGTAAAGACTTGTAAATGTAATATGAACATCTTTGTAAAGCTCTCCTAGCTGCCAAAATCATGTAATAATAGCATGCACTACTTAACAGTAACAGCTTGATATAGGGAAAAAATAAGTCTGTAATCTTTTTTCCCAGCAGTGAAAAGGAAATATGTCCTGAGAGAAACATGTAGGCTGCCATTGCTCTTACCTCTTTCTGAAAACAAGCATTGAGGTGGGTGTACAAAACCCTTTAGGCCACGGTGCCACAGTCCCAAATAGTCAATAGAGAATACATAGAAAATAAATGTGGATTTTAAGGTACCAAGTAAAAACTTGCCAACCAGAAATATAAAATCATATACATGTTATTTCTTCACATTTAGTTAAACGTGATTAAAGTACAATCTCTGCTCGATTCATAACACAACCTCCTTGAAACCACACAATTACTTTACAATATCATATATACAATACAAAAATTGGTATCTATTTCGTGTCACAGTAAGTGATCCAAGCCGATTGGCGCATTAGACAAAAGAAAGTGTTATTTCGAAAAAAGCATACAGGTAAGTATAATACATATAAGCATTACATTTTGTGTTCCGACAAAAATGAAAGCATGCTTACATGATCATGCAAAGTGGCAGAGCTACCATAATAAAATCATAAAATGCGCCACTTTTGTGGAGACTGAGTGGAGGAATCCAATTCCAACATTGTCAGGGCAACAATATTTGAAATTATCTTATTATAGTACTGTCAGTAACTATCCTACATACAGTATATATATAGATCTATATATAGATCTATATATAGATCTATATATAGATCTATATATAGATATATATATATAATGTAATCTCTGTAATCCAATCATGTGGAAGCAAAAATACTGCTTTATTTTTTATTTTCCAAGCACATGATTAGGTATTTTTTGTAAAGTGAATTTTCACCTCATTCACTAAGTTAAGCAAAGTGCTAATTAATTTGCAAAGTGAACACCCGTTAGCGAATCAACCCCAAATACCTCAATAAGTTCTTCCGAAAAACTGATCCAGAAAAAGTATATAGCCAGTAAAATCAGAGAGAAGTTGGAACTCCTGAGTCCTAATCTGCATACTTATTTTATTTTTCTCATCACAAGTTTCCTTTAACTATACTACAAAAATATTAAATTGGTCATGTACACCATAGGTTTGCCAATACTCTAGTTAAGCAATGCAACTTTGCAAAAAAATTATATTGTAAAAAAAATCATAGAATCTACATCCTAAAGATGCTTTTCTGTGTGATGAAGATACTGCTTAAATCAATAAACATGAACTTGCTTATCTCCCAAAAACATGTGTATTTCTGTTTAGCCACCTTTGTGATCTAGACACCCCTCCCAGACAGCAAAGCTGGATTTGTGACCTTACTTTTCTCCTTGGCCATTAAGCAATATAGCTTGCCCCATTGCCAACACTACCCTGCTGATTGGAGCAGACAGACACTAATGAGGCCATCTCTCGGCTCTCCCCTCTTGGTGAAAAATACTGTTTAATACATATATTAAATAGATAACATGATGTTCTTTTTAATACTGTCTTGAGTTTTATTTTTTATACTCACATTTCCATGACTTTGCTTATTGATGAATGGCATACAAGCTAGTTATAAAAGTATAAAGATGAATATAAATATACATACATACATGACAATGCCACAATATTGCTAGAATCCCCTTAGATGTATTCAGTGCTACTGCAGCCCTTGGTTGCCATAGTGGAGCTTAGTTGCCATAGTGGAGCTTCCCTCCTGAGTAAAATGTTGGGCTACACTTGTGTTCTGTGGTCCCAGTGTCCCACAAGTCCTACGAAATCATACATACACAAGAATATGAATGACTGATTCAGTGAATCAACCTTTTGCTTCAGCTAAGGACCAGTTAAAGTCACAATTTTATGTTATTATTTTCTATTCAAGGTATCTAGTGAATGTGGATCAAGTTCCTCATCTTGCAGCCCTGAGTGGAATGAGTCTGACTTCAGTGGAAGCCAAAGTGGTAAGAGCTTATAATTTATAATATTGATCTTGCCTTCACTGGCATGAAACATTTTTCTTAGTGACAGCTGGGCATTTACATTTGTGTGGTACATCTATATACGCCAGAAATAAACCAGTTATAGAGGCATAGAGTAGTTTAAAGAGAATACTTAAATAAAAATATATATACAGTGTGTATATATATATATATTTTAAGTACACTACATCACAGAAAGTGATGGGAAATCAAAATTTTTACATTTTTCCCAAAACAAAAAATTAGAGGGGAATCATTTTCACTTTGCGTCTCTGAGACATAGAAATTAAGGAAATCTCCACAACAAGACACGGAGAGCAAAAAAAAAGCAAAAAAAATGGACAGGGATTCTAACCCTTCTTGATGTTATCTACTCACTTTACTTCAGTTTACTACCTTTCAGTATATCAAACCTTAATGTAGTATTGGGCAAAGGATTGATTTTGAAAACCCAACATTTCTATCTTTTTAGCCTTCGGCTCAAGTTAACCAAATTACATGGTCTTTTGAAATCCAATAGCTGTCAGTCATCCCTGTGCAACACAGTGAAATGTGAATGTGGGCACACATTTGTGATGTGATCAATAAAGAAAAACTAATATGGATTGCTAATGAGGTTCCCACCTAATGAACACAGTCAGCTTGTCTGCTTTCTCGTTATGACCTTTGTAGTGCTTAAATGTAGAGAAATACAACCTATGGACTTATTTAACATGCTAAACACAGCTACATAGCAACCAATCAGACATTACCTACCATTCTGTGGAATTCACTAATGGATTTGTTCCAATCATGTGATAGATTCAGGTAGTCCTTAATAGTGGCCTGATGGGGAAGTTCCCCTTCTTTCCCATCAGGTCCCTTCTACTAGTCATTGACAGCAGGAAGTGGGCAGATTCCATATCCAATAGTAGGCTTTCTCTTGGCTAAGGAATCCACACACTGCCTGCTGTCAATAATCAGTGGGACCTACCTACTTACATAGTTAGTCCAATTGAAAACATTGACACAAGTCCATCAAGTTCATCTACTAGGTCCTCAGCTTCCCCATCGGGCTCTACCTACCCACTAGGCAGCCACTTCACCACTGTGTGAAAGCTGCAACAGCCATGGGAGTTGGTGAGCTGCTCTGAGGATGGAGTATTCGGTGCTTGCAACAAATCCATGTATCTGTTTCCAACAGGTACATAAATCTGCAGCAAGCACTGACATTTGTTGTGTGGATGCCTCACAGACTTCTAAAGAGTGTTAAAGACACTATTTATGAATTGCCCCAATTGTTCTCACTTCAGTAAACTGACATGTGTTGGCTAGCAAGGGAAATTAAGCAGACTGCTTCTGATATGCACCACTATTTTGTTAGTACCAGGAAGTTTCTCAAATCCACCATTTTCAAAAAGCCTGCCTAAGAAATTAAATTGGTAATACAGGAAGCAAAAAAAGAGGAAGGTACATAGCATAGGCTTGGTGTAGTACATTCTCAGTGACCTTTTTAGGTGGTCTGCATAAATATGACCGCAGAGAAGTCTAGTGAATAGACTATATTACTTTGCCCATTCAGGACAAAGTGACAGGTTCTCTTGTAAGAACAACCCCTCACCCTCTGATACTCACCCTACCTGCATTCCCCGCTGCTCAATTCTTGTACCAGTCCTGGAAAGTGTAAGCTTTTTGTCAGATGGTGTTAGAGCTAACACAGGGTTAACTTCCTCCTCCTCCATCCTATCATATGATGTTGGCCCTAGCACTGCATCCTGAGAAAAGGTCAGATGCTTCTTCCTACCCAGAGACTCCAGGTATTCACTGAGGGCTCCAACAGAACAACTGAGCAGCTAGGAAATGTAGCAAAGTTAAATATAAGCAGGTGAGGGATGCTTTTACCGGTTGACCTGTCATTTTGCCCCAAATAGCAGAGTAAGAGGTAAACTGAGTGGATTTTAACACTTTTTGGTACATTATGCGCCCTTTAGCCTAGTTGATTAAACATACATCTGAGAGAAAAACTGTCATTAAAACTTTAGGTATAAAGAAGGATCCTGAAATGCATCTAAACACAGTAGTACTTTCTACCTTTCAAAAATTTCCTATTACTACCCATAAAAAGCAACAAAAACTATACACGCAACACCACCTAAAACATTCTCTAAAAATGTTCCCAATTCAACAACCACTTTCTAATCTCTCAAAAAACATTCTCTTTATTAATAGGAAAGAAAAGTTAAAACTAATATCATAAAGTTTTTAAAAAGAACTATATGTGTAAATAATTGAGAATTTATGGACTTTATATTTATGCACAGAAAATCTGAACAGATTTGCATGAAGTGTAAATGAATTGTTTTTCCAGCAAAGGTCAAAAATCTGTACTTTATGTTAATGGATTAAATAAGAACAGAAATCCCTTCAGGCCCTCAGATTCTGCATTACAAATGATATGCACTGTTTAAAAAAATCACATGCCCCCAATAAATGGTTTGTGAAGGTTATGTTAGCAGTAATATACACTAATGCAGAGTGCCAGCCAAAGAACAAAAGACCATTAAAGTTTTAGCTGTGTGTTCAAGCAATGTGACTTCACAAAGAAAACATGTGGAGTCTTAAAGGGTCACATTCAGTGCATGAAAACTGTATTTTTCCAAATGACAGCTACAGATTACAATTCATAATAATAATCTTTTTAATTAATTTACTAACCGTACAATCTTTTTCTGTATGTTATATATTTTTTTATTGTCAAAGTAAACAAACTTGCATAATGTGTTCCTATAGTTTGGAATACATAGCTACATAAAAAATTTCATACAAAAATGTAATTTGTTTGCTCTTAGGGTTGAAGTTGGGTGAAATACAGTAAAGGGAAATTAATACAAATATTCAATCATTTTTTTTTTGCACTTGTCAATGACCGGATGTCTGAAATGAACACAGGTTTACTTAATTACTCCTCAGTTCATTTTACACGAAAGTAAATCAGGTCCATTACAGTTGCATGTACAGTTAGGATTTTTCAATCAAATTTATTTCATTTTATATTTTTTGTACAATTTATTTTAAAAAATCTTAATTTTACAAATTAGCAGATGCTTGCATTCAGGCTCACTCTCAGAATAAAATTGTGAATATTTTGTCTAAAAAGAACAGTGAAGGAGGGGGATAGGTCACTCCTACATTTCATTAAGGTATATACATTTGAGCTATAGAGCTCTGTAAACAGTAGTCTTTTTGTTAACAGGAAAGCTAAAAATAGGTTCACATGTCATAAAACACTAGCATTCCTCCTGTTGGCCAAACATATATTTTACTATTGTATTTTTAAGTCATATACATAATAAATATCACACAATAAAATGTATAAAACAAACAATATACATTTCCTTTAAATGGGCTTTAAAGGTTTATACTGTACTTGTAGGGTTTTTTTTTTTTTTTTTTTAATTATTTTCTCAATTAAAAAATAAAAAAGGGATTTCTAAAATACGTTTAGTAACTTCAAGCGCTACACTAAAAACATAATGGATATCCTAGCTTGTACCACATTGTTAAACATTGTTTAAAAAATGCAAAAGTGTTAGACGTGTCCTTTGTAATATGTGCAAATAACACCAAAATCAGATGAACCACACTCAGGAGATCCCTTTGTTTATGGTTTCTGCCCATGTAGCTCTGCCCGTATGTGAGACTTTGTAAAACTATTAAATGTACATAACTTCAGAATTGGAGATTTTCTTATTATTTTGCAAAGAATTTGATAGGCAGGATACTTTTATTTTGTCTTCTGTGGCATAAGGCAGCATTATAAAATCAAATTAGTTTTGTCATTTTTTTCTAATCATTCAAGATCAAGGTCATTCACTGTAAACATGCCACCTTTATAAGCACTGGATGAATGTACAAAGCAGATGTTGCCCATCACAGCCAGATTACCCTGTGTCTACTGCACACTGAAATTAATGTAAACTCTAGTGTGGCCCAGTTAGAATTTCATAAAAGTTCAGCCTAGTTAGAATTCCATTAAAAAAATATGAATTACCATGAGGTTTCTATTACAGATAAGTAGAGGTAAAATGATGTTTAGACAAAGATGTAGTGTTCTAGTGATATGCGTCCACTGAATGCATGTTTCCTGTCTTTTTGGCATCCTAATTCCTTCTGTTTCCTCCTGCAGAAAATCTTCTAAGTGATGATTCCTCAGAACAACGTGACATGAGTTCTTTGTCTTCGATTGTTGACAGCATCACATCTGGAGAGGTGTCAATAAACTTTTCTGAACAGCATATTGGAAACTAAGCACATCTTCAAGATGTTGTTTGTGGACCTTCCTGTATGCTACTAGCACACTGGAAGTAACATATTATGGACCGATTCTTGTAGCACTGTTGTCTCATAAAATGACTTAGAAAACGAAATCTCCTATCAATGACGCCATCAAAGTTTGGTGGTACAGGGTATTAAGTGACATAGGAGGTATTTGGAGATATATAGGTTATTGTATTTAAACCTAGATCATCTCAAAAAGTTTTGTCCAACCTGGTCTTTAAGGTAAAAATATATATAATATATAAGCTTGTTTCTACTATTCATAAAGCGAGAGACAGAGGAACACACACCACTGGCTAATGTCTAATGCATTTTGTTGTCAATTTCTAGTTAAGTTTCTCTTCTAAGCTGAATGATCTAAACAGGAGTGATAATAAATCAAGCAATGTGAAGATATTTTAAGAGTTGCACTGAATATCAGTCAGCAAAAGGGGAGTATTAAGATAAAAATTAATTGATCACTTACTTTGACTGAGGGATGTTACAAGTAGTCTTTTACATGTGAAAATTGGGCCATTTCAGGAAACAGTGTCGAAATACTACCACCTTAGAAGATATACAAAGTCGAAGCTTACCATGCCAGCCCTCAAGTATAGCATTGCAGATGGTCTCCAGGGTTGGAAGATCTTTGAGCTTCTTGGCTAATTCAGAAATATTTTCTCTGCAGTGAGCCTTCTTTTTTAAACTTCTTTTGATGCAGTAGGGGGAATTACATTCACACTACTTATTGCTGTCACTGCCCAGAGAAAGCTAATTTGTAAGTGGCTTCATCCAAAGCATTTTTTTATCTCAGGAAAGTGAACTTTTCCATCCTTCCCATTATGCTTGTCTTATTGCACATCTTAATCACTTTTATTATTATTATTATTATTATTATTATTATGGGTTGCAATGATTCTGACAAGGCTGCTACTTGGGGTTCTTTCCTGTAGAAAATCAGTGATGTTTCTAGCGTAGCTATGCTGGACATAGCTTTAAGGACATCACAAATGTTCCACTGAGCCTGGCTGCTAGCAACAATGCTAGTGTTCTGTAAGTTATTTGTTACTAGGGCTCATGCTAGATGACACTCTTCCTTTAGAAGAGTAAAATTACTGTTACTGAAACAGTACTTCACAAGAGCATATCCCACATTTTTTGCATGCAAAAGGCACCTAAAATTTTTTACACAAATTGTCATGTTAAAACATAGCATAATGTATTAAATATAATGACCTATGGCAAAATGTTTTCCTCATGCGATGAACACCCTAACAAACATTAATGCATCAGGTACAAGGGATCCAGGCCAAATGTTTTACACTACTTGAATGCCACAGTTTTAGTATTTTCTTAGATGATCAATAGGTGATTGACATTACCCTTGCAGTGTGGGTATTACTACAGTATTTAAAGAGTACCTGTTAGTTTGCCTTTTATGGCAAAGTGACAGCTTCTCTTGTGAAATGAACCCACCACCTGCTGATACTTACTTGCTGCACCCTGCCACTCCATTGCTTTTTCTGAGCCCTTAGTAAATAGACAGTGCTTCCAGGCATGGGGAGCCAGTGACCACTGGGACAACTGAGTGGAACCGTGGTGAAGGTGAGCATCAGTAGGTGGGAGGTTCTTCTTGCAAAATAGCATATTATTTTTTCCTGAATGGGCAAAGTGACAGAATCTCTTTAATGTGAACAAAATGCCAGTTCCACTGTACTATATTCCACTCCTCTATAGTATGCTGTTAGCTCTAAGGAAAAGCAGATAAAGTTTAGCTTACAGCTTGGAAGACTTACTTTTCATAAATGAACTAAGCTGCCTATGTTGTTTGAATTGGAAATATTTTCACACTAGCATTTTTCCTGGTGGTGATAACCTGACAGAAGGGAAATAACAATAAATGCATTAGGCTTAATTCACAACACATTAATACAAAGGTGAGGATCTTTAAATTTATTTCCATGTGACTAATGTTTCAAATCTTATTGGATTCATATTGGAGCTGAAAATAACTGTCACTTTTAAAAAAAAGGATCCTTAACTTGTTGACAATCTTCATGATTTGATTCTCACGTGAGCTGTTTCTTCATAGTTTTATCCTTTCTTTGATGTCAGGAATCCCTTTCTGTTCAAGGTGTCAACAAACGATACCTACAAATTGACGGTAGTGGGTTTCTACCATGAATATCCGTAAAATCAAAAGCACTTGTCTACTGTAAATAGACCTTCATACAGAATACTCTTGCTACCATAACCAGCACTAAATAAATCCATATGTGTTGGACAGCTTTGCCTTCATGAACATGAACAAAAATTCCTAATTGATGATGTTCAGTTACTGTCTTATGAATTAATTATATAATTATTATTCCTTTATGTGCCATATTTAAAAACTGGCCTTAAATGTTGCCATGATAACATAATTATTTAAATAAATTATTAAATTAAATATGATTACACCTAGTTAATTTAAAAAAAGAGATCGCAATTTAACTTTATTTAAAACTCAACCCAACGTATATTTATTATTAATATCCTTAAGGAGTATAATTAAAACACCATGAAGTTAATACTAATATTAATTATGGTTTGGACAACGTTAAAAGAAACTTCATATAAATTCCATCTTTTGGTATCAGATTTTTTTTTGTATTTTATTTTCATAGCCATTTTTATCAAAGGGGTGTGATTTATATAAAGTGATGTGGTTTAAATAAAGGTTTTTTTTATTGTTCACTGGGGCCAATGGGTTTTTACTGATTGCAGTATTGTTTGACCAATGTTAGTGTTACCGCCTTTTTTATTATAAATGTGTGGGTTTGACTTTTTTATTTTTGCTAACTTATTTGTATGTTTCTTTTTTAATAAAGATTGTTTGAATAAACATTGTGCTGTAACCACTGATTTAAACACATGGAGCACCACTCCATCACAGCTAGACAGCAGGGAAAAACGGGTGTCTCCTGGGTGAGCATGTCCACGATCCAATGCACATTCTCCCACACTGAAAAAATCCGTCCGCACACCGCAAATAACGCTGGAAAAATGTATTATAAGTTACACAGCTTTATTCAGTCGACTTATGTCTGCCCTTCTGATGCATTCCACCCAATCATGGGCCTTGCCATGGCATGGTGTAGAGAGGAACTAGGGCATCTAAAGGTTGAAAGTGACGGGAGAAAATTTGAAGCAGGCGGGTAGAGGATAGCATGCAAGTGTCACTTGGAATGGTTTTTGTGATTAGTTATATTCGTGAGGTTTTTAGAAAATATTCCAGCACTACCATCATAAATATTGTTTTCTTGTATTACTATAGATTTCATATATTTCAGGCACTAGAACTATAGTTTATAACAATTTGTTAGACTATATATAACTTCCTTTACAGATGCTGTCATTGTTTCTGTTAAATTATAGAATGGCACCATATCATTATTTATTTTTTTACTTTAGGAAAGACCCTAAGAATAAAATATCTCGGAAAATGTGGTGAATAAAATTATTTTTGAAGTAAGATTGGTGCCGATGGGAAGTTTTGCATATAGTATGTAGGCCACGTGCCCTCAACATTGTAAGAGTGCTTTGCCAGGAGGGACCCCCTGGCAAAGCACCTTGTCCTCATGTTGATGAAGACACAACCCTGGCCCAGTGGTTGTGGGGGTCTGCAGTCAGGGGGTCTCATCTGAATCTGTGAATCTGAATGCCGCCCCCCCTTGCGAATGAGTAAGGGGTACTTGTTACCCCTACTAATTCACCAAATAATAGTAAAATAGTAAATAAACACACCACTACCCTTTACTCATTTCTGAAAGAGGGCACCCAGCTTCAGATAAGCTCCCCTGCCCACAGACCCCCACAACCCCGGCCCGGTGGTTGTAGGGATCTGCAGGCAGGGGTCCCCATCAACATGATATGGTATGGTGCAGGTAGGGGGGCACGATCACCCCCTTTCCTGCTTTGCCAGGCTGCTGCTTGGATCAAGGGTCTGGTAAGGGATTTTAGGGGGGGGGGCATGCTTTTTTTTGGCATTGGGGTCTCCCTAAAATTCCTACCAGACACTTAGGTCAGGTAGGAATTGGAGGGGGACCGCATGCTGTTTAAAAGAATTTGGGGAAAAATTGCTTCATGGTTCTGTGGACTGTCAAAAGTTTTAAAAAAATGTAAACATTTAATGTCCCTTTTCTGCAATGAACGTTCGTTCATAATTATCGTTCCACTCATCTGAAATTAAAACCAAAATTTGGAAAGGTCCAAATCTGAATAATGGAACAAATTGATTTTTGAACCCAAATCCCGAAAACGAAAAAAACTCTGAAACGAAACAATTTTTTTGCCGGCTTACATGTCTAATAAAACTACTGAATCTTAATGGGACATTCTGAAGTGAAGTGATTGCAGTATATTTTCACCATGTTCACCCCTCAATCCTACAAATTCAAAATTTTCTCCACAAGAAATTCAGTCTGACATCAGAGTCAGATTGTAAAGCAGGCTGTAGATAGCCGCCCCCCTCCCTGCGATTCTGTGTAACATGATCACTACACACCAGCTCTGCCTTTGCACACAATACACTGTGGGGGGTGAAGGGGGTGTGCCACTATGAATACTAATGAATGAGGGGAGGAGAGCTCAGTTGTAACATACACAGATGCAGCCATTTCCATGAGGCTATGAAGAAGAAAGCTAACAAAAAACATACGTTTCTGTGTTCATATACAGCAACTGCATATGCCTGCTTCATTTACATTCGATGTCCATTACTGCCATATGTTGTTTTTTTTAAATACCTCCACAAAGTGGGAAATGGGCTTTAAGGTATGTTTCCTTTTATGGCGTGGAGGAAGGAGGTGCACAATAATTACAGTTTTATTATGCAAAATGCCACTAGTTTTTATTACTAGCCATCACATTTATTACAAAACACGTAATGAGCACTTCAGAGTAATAGTATGTGAAAATGTTATCAGTGGGTTATGTTAGGGTAGTTTTAG